CCTCATATCCGCAATAAGTCTCCTCTCTTCCGGCGACATTTGCGCATCCGATCCTCTTGCCCTCTCCTCCTCCTCCGACTCCTCGCTATCCTCCTCCTCCCTTTGCGCTCTCGAAACCGCTTCTCTGGCCCTATCCCTCTGACTCCTCGCTTGCGCACCCGCAAAAGCAGCCGGAAAGACGATCCAATCTTCTCCCGTTCCCGTAGCCCTTGCCCCTCCTCCCGAAGGCCCGTAGCGCAGATTTCGTCTGTTCAGAGCTTGTCGCAGCGTGTGTATGAAGCCGACGGGTCTAGTCGAATCCTCTTCCCCTCCGCTCGACTCTCCCGCACCTCCCGTAGAAGGCTCGTGCGCAGCCTCGGTATCCTGTCGATCTCTGCGCGCTGCCGCAACCAATAACCTTCCCCATCGGTGCACGCGCCAGTAAGAGACCAAGCTGGAGAGCACAATGAACCAGCCGAGAACCATCAGGATGTAAGACAGCCATTGCGCTCCCTCCTCTACCGGAAACAATCCATCATCCCTTCCACCTCCGCCCGCATTTCCATTTGCATTGTTCATGTCGCCTCCTGCAGCCAACATATCTGCCATGGTACCGTTGCCAGTAGGAGCCGGGGCGTCGCCTCGGAGGAACATGTCCGCGGCTGCGCGTCGCAAAGACCCAGCAGCTGTTGGCGCACCACTGCCAGAATCTCCGAACGGGTCCCACCACGGATTGCCGCCAGAAATGACGATGGCTTCGTTGGGGCTTGATCCTGGAGCGTTTCCGTCTGGTGAACCTGCATGTCCGGGGAGAGGGTCGCTAGAGGGCAGATTGCGCGTGCGGAGAAAAAGACCGTACTGGATCAGGGTGATGCCTAGACCTGCTCGACTGCCGCAACGTGCCGCGTGGGTAGTGTGAAGCAGATAAGTCAAGAGGAAGCCTGCGCAGCGACGGCAGTCGAACGGGTGTGGAGGAAAAAGTCAGCCCTGTGCAGTCCGCGCAACAAGCCGGACGAGCATCAAATGCCCAAAGCTCACCAACGAATTGGAAGCTCATGCTGACCATGAGGTTCCAAGCGAATCCGAAAAAGTTGCCGACTGGCAGACCTTCCACGATGAGGTCTTCGATCTCCCCAACGTGGGCACCGCCGGGTGTCCAGCCCATTCCGCCGGGCGCAAGAGGGTGCATGCCTCCTCCCACTATCGTAGTCTCCCAATAAGGCGGCGCAGAGTCTGCAGCTGCTACATCGTAGGTTGGTGGCAAGGTCTCGTCAACCTAAAGATGAACACAAGGACAGAACTGAGTCAGTTTCTCATGCTCGATTCACATTGTACGATGGCGAGAAAAGCGAGGGGGGGCTGATGCTTACCAGATCGTCGTCATCACCCCTATCACCTCCATCTGCGGTGCGTCTCCTCCTCTCCGGTTTGGCGCTCAGATTGGCAAACACACCATCTCCTGACCCTCCACCCATCACTCGTCTCCTCGTGCTCGATGCGCCCGCACTCCTAGCATCTGCATCATCCGTGGGCAAACTAGCATACGTAGCTCCCGGCACCCTCATACCCACAAACTGTCCAAATCGACCCAGAGCTAATCGAACACGAGACATTCTCGAGTCCATAGGAGGTAGTCGTTGCTGTTGCGCATTTGCGCTCGAGCTCGTGCTGAGATCATAAGTGGAAGAGGAAGGTCCACCCGGGTTGGAATTGGCAGTGATGGGTGTAGGGCCTGGCGTATCTGGTCTTGCGCCATTGTTTCCTCTAACGTGCGAGCTCGATGAGGCAGCTGTAGGATCTGAGCTGGAGGAAGGAGCGGTAGCAAAGTACGAAGGCGCCTCAAAGTCGTATCCGCTCTCTGTAGCGTTTGGCGAAGGAGGTGCGACGCCCAGTTCGAGCGCCGAAGGGATCGCATTCTCCCTGCCATACACCCTGTTTCTTCTGTCGGAAGTGCGATGGGATGAGGCAGCGGAGGAGCGAGCTCCCAAAGGATCGTCGGTCAAATCATCATCAGCCTCATCGCCCATCGCATCTCCCGCATCGAACCAGACCTGGTCGGCCCGTTCGCGCGCAGCTGATGCTCGTCTAGCTTGCGCAGGGTCGTACGAAGGAGGCAAAGCATCACCTGCACCGTCTGTGGCGCTTCCTAGCAAATCTGAGCTCTCGCCTTCATCGTCGAATGCGGCAGCTAGCTCGGCTGCTCGCGATTGGGAGCCATTGCTTCGGCTGCTATGAAACGTGGGTCGGCGTACCATGTTGTCAAAGCACTGGGACGTTTTTGTTGAAGCTGAATCAGGTGTTTAGGTGTTCTGACCAATCGAGATTGCCGCTGGGTGAATGTGCTGTGGAAGAAGAGAGAGTGGGCCGCAGTGCGGGGTGTAGCGTGGAGTGAGTGGTGGGCAGGTGAGACGCCGTTGACGCTCCGCGTAAAGCTAGCCCCGGTGGCGATGGTGGCGTGCACTTGATGGTCAGACCGCTCAGGCTATTGAGGTGCCGTGCGTGCGTGCGTATATGCGCCCGCTCGCGTCTTGACGAGAATGGCGAATGGGAGGCGGGGTGATGTGGGTTGAGGCGAGACTGGCGGCTATTTTGTGAGTATTGGTGATTGTTGGCCAAGATGTGCTCTCACATTTGAGCTGTTGTGGAGAGAGATGCGCTTGCTGACCGAGAATCGTGAATGTGAATGCATCAGCTTGACTGACCTGGCTGCCTCCGCTTAAGCTGTACCATACAACTCACGAGAATAGATAGTCGCTGCAAATGCGAATCTATTGTGATCACGCGGCTGAGCTGACCCAAAGCGTCATCGTCAGCAGCAGATGCACGCAACGCAACGCAATGCAACACTATTTATTATACAATGTGCACTGTATACTGTACTACTACTACTACTGTAACTGAAAAGCCAAAGTCAAGAGTCATTCGGTGCAGTTTGAGTGTAGAAATGCGCTGCATCCGCCGGCCTGTCGAGCTTGCGACGCGCGCA